CCTCCTTTGTGCCTGGACTCAGACCGTGGGCTCACACCCCTAACTCTGCCACTTACCAGCTCTGTGACCTTGGGAAGCCAGTTCTCTGTGACCCAGCTTATTCACCTGCAAAACAGGACTAAAACAAGTCCCTGTCTCATATTTCAAAAAGACCCCCTGCAACGGTCACAGCAGAGTAGCTGGCACACACTAAATGCTCAATAAATGTTAGTTACTATGTTTATCACAGTACCTGCCACCCACTTCTCTCCCCGCCCAGCTTTGGTCTGCTTCCTCACCTACTGGGCAGTGACCAACTTGAAGGAGGCAGAGACCTGGCACAGAGGTGTCTAGGAAATGCTTGTGGAATGGGTGATGAATAAATGGGCAAAGTGGGTCTGGTGGGAACTGACAAGGCCCCAGGCCAGGTCTCAGTGACTCGAGTGGCCTACGGCCCTGCCCCTGCACTTGCCTTACTGTGGCTGGGGGACTAGATCTTCTTATGCAGTGGTAGGGGGCCAGCAGGACTGCTCTCCAGCGAACAGAGCAAAGGACACACTCCCGAATCCCTAGCTCCTTCTCTCTACTGTGCCCTCACCAGAATGCACGGACGGAGGGGTGCCATCACCCCACACTAGGAAACAACCTCTCTCCCCAGGGAATGGGGGACATGTCTTTGCAAAATGCACTGCCCAGTTTCTGGGGATGCCTAACAGCCATGCAACAATGACCTCCTCCCTCTGCGGGCCATTTCCAGCCGCAATCTGGGTAACTACCACAGGGACACTCAGTCAGCCAGCCCCGGCCTCCCAGAGGTCACCAAAGCTGCCTCCAGAGGAAGTGTGGCCGCATCTCATCCCAGCACCAACCCCACACAGCGACCTCCTGCTGCTCCCCCACTGGGACCAGTGAGTGAGCCAGCCACCAACACCTTTTAGCACGTGCACCTCCAACCTTGCTATACTGGGAGGTGACAGGAGGCTATGGTAGGCAATTTGACAACTCATATCAAATGATAACAGATGTTGTGTTGTCACTGCGAAAGCATCAGATCACCAGAGTCCCCTCCAAGTGCTGCCAGGCAGCGCATGTCCAACATCTGCATTTGGAGCTCCAAAGCTGGCCGGCTGCGCATCTTCTGCTCCTTCCTCCAGTTGCAGGAGTCCCTTAGTCAGCTCTGCGTATCCCCCAACTGCAGGTCTCCGTGAGGGTGACTCACTTTCAGAGGAAGAAATGAACTTGTTTTGGTGAAGCTAGATGACTGTAATTGCTGACTTTCTGTACTGCATAATTTTGTTACATGAAAGATACAACACACTGAGATTTCAGATGTCTGGAGTATTTAGAATCTCTAGCCCTCCTTTCCAAAGCTTAAATTCTACTGATTTAGAAGGGCCTGATTTAATTTTGCCAACATACCTGTCTGTCCTTTTCTTCTGATATGGGGCATGGTTATTGAGCTCCTCATTAACTCTGTTTAAACAATCCTGCAGATGACCTTCAGAGGCTTGAGACAAATGCCTGGGTCCTCAAAAAGATGGGGATGCCCCAGGTTTTGAAGCAACTGTATGAATCAATGCACTTTGGGACTGCTCGGCTGTCTTAGACAAATATTTGATAAGAGTATAAGGGAAATTTGAGATCTCAGGTCTAAACTGAAGAAGTGACCTTGTTTGTTATTCCTAGTGACCACCCACTGGGCCAGGTCTCATCCCAGAAGCCTGGGTGCACTGCTTCGAAGTGCTGAGTTTGGGATTTTGCCCAGCCCTGATGTGCCAAGTGGCCCCAAAGAAGGACCTCTTGCTGGGAGGCATAGCCTCTCTCCTGACCCCCTTCCTGAGACCCATGATCCTTCTCTGGGCTCTGTGGGCCTTGCACATCCCTCCATGTGGGCACACGTCACTGGAACTATAGCTGAGCACACGCTATGTGCACCCAAGCCTTCGGAGGCTTGGCCTCACTCGCCTGCCCGTGAGTGCTACCTTAGTAAGGAGGTCACCTCAGGGCAAAGCAAAGGCTCAGCACCTGGCCGCTGCCAGGAAGATAGAGCAGGCCCAGTGGAAGTGTCCTGCTAGGCGATAGGGGAATAAGTGATCGAGCCCTTGAACAAACAAAGGGATGGAAATGGAAAAGGCCAACAGCTGCTGAAGCAGGATATACGAACCAGTGAGTAGGGCTCTGTTAGGTGGACCCAAGTGAGAGAAGGGAACCAGCTCTAAGCCATTTCAGTATGAAGAACAAAGATGGACACATAGTAGGTGTTCAGTAAGTTATGACAAACACTAACTGGGCACTTTCTGTCTCCAGGCCCTGTGCTAAGCCCTGCACATGACTGTCTCACTTAATCTTCACTCTAAACCCTACAAGGAGCTGCTGTTACTTTTGACAAAATGGACTGGGACCCAGCGACAGAGGCTGACTACCCCACCAGGGCAGGAAAAACTGATCCAGTTCTCACTCACGTCATCATTCTATGTTCTTACTAGAAAGGCAGCAGAGTTTTGCACGAAGCCCATGACTCTAGAACCAGAATGCCTGAGCTCCAGTCCCGTTCTGTGCCTCGGTGGTGTAAAGCTGGGTGGCTGACTTCACTTGCTCACACTCTCTGTGCCAGCTCTCATACGGGGATGGCACCAGGGCACTGGGGCCACTGTGAAGACTAGTTAAGTCAGGACATGCACCACGGCACCAGCACACAGCAAGCACTCACTTAACTGCTAGCCTTTGAAATGCTCTTCTGTATTGCCCAAGCCCGTGAATGGTTTCCCCGTATCATTGTTGGAGACAGGTTGGTGCTAATCTCTCCTTTTGCATATATGATTTCCTCAGCCTTTTGGGGCTATAAGCAGAGAATGGCAGAATATGGGGACCAGGCAGGCCTTGTTGACCCCAGAGTGAAGGTCACCATTTTACTGATGACAATGAGAGGAACTGGGGAGACATGGGGAAGGAAATTCAGCATTTATTAATCTGTGTTAAATGGGGCTAAAAGATGTAATAAAGACTCTGCCTGAGATCTCACCAGAGGCTTTGCAGCCAAGTTTAGGACAGACTTCAAAGTCCCGGATTTCTACAAGGGGTCAGCGAAGGACACACAGTGTGGAACTTCATTATCTGTCTGAGGAGAAGCATCTTCAGATGGTTTAAACCAGCCCGTTCATGGGTCTTGACAGGATTAAATGCCCAGCGGGGCAGCAGGGAGCAGCCATCTGAATCCCTGTAGACAGAACAATGCCACAGACCCTCACTTCCCCAGGCCTTGCTGCCCCTCTTCACTGGGCCAGCGGCCCCATCAAGGGGCTGGTTCTGAATGCAGAGCCTGGAGGTTTGGGGACACATCACCCCAGCTACCCTGGCTGGGGGGCACTCAACTGCTTTCCCACCCTCCTGAGCTGACTCTGGTTTCCTTCAGAGGAAGATCAGGGCTCTTTAGTGGAGAGCAACCTATTTCAGGGCTGCCAAAATGGTGGTGGGGTATTGGGGTGAGGGGCTGGGGCTGACTCCGCCTCTTGCCACACCCAGAATTGGCTCTGGGGCATTTGACTGGATAGAAAAGGGCTCTTCTCCCTGTACCCAGGAGGGGAACCCTGCCATTCTCAAGTTTAGTCCTTGCAGAGTGTCCTGTCCCAGGAGTGCTGACAGGTGCTTGTTCCAAGACCTGGCTCCCAGTTTTCTCACCCACCTCTCCTGGCTTCTCAGTTCAGGTCCCGGCATCATCAGACTTGCTGGAATTCCATCCCCCAATCCGCTCTTTCTTCTCCCTCTGATGGAAATGTCCTTCTGCCCCTTCCTCTGGTTTACCTTTATTCATTCTTTCAGACTCAACTCAGGCATCATCTCCTCCATGAAGGCTTCTCTGATTGATCCTTCTCAGATCATTCTGTTTTGTACTCCCATGCTTTCATCTAGAAACTTCTATCGCAGTATTAAACATTTTGTATATCGCATTTTCTCTTTATGGGTCAGAACCTCGCAAGAGTGAGTTTCGTGATGGCAAGTACCATGATTTTTGTTTTTGAGAGTTTAGTGTCTAGCCCAGCACCTGGCACATTAAAATGAGTGCATAACTTGGAAGCATTTGTCCAAATCACTCTTAATTCACAACAGAGAAAGTCCAGCTAAAGCATTTCAGCATTTCAGCATATGCAAGATGATTATACACAGGGGACTGCAAATACAAAACGAAATATGCAAACCTGCCCAGCACTTCAGGATAAAGAAACAATAGCATAAGCTTTCTGGTGGGTGGGGACCTTGGAGAAGTGAACTACTATTCAAGGACAATGAAGGAACTCAGGAACTCAGAGGCAGGGGGATGGGGAGTGAAGCCAGTGCCTTTGCCTTGATCCTGGAAGACAATGCTTGCTTTATGAAGGAAACCACATCTTCTGCCTGCCACATGCCAACTGCAATTCCACACTCCAGTCCCCTGTGATATACATTACTCTGTTACACCAAAGGAGGCTAAAGTATTAGGTGGGCAGAAAATTATGCCTAACATTTAATTTTTTAAAAGTAAAAACCGACTTTATATCCAAACCAGAAAATCTGTTACATGTTACACGGAATGTCCCTAAGAAGCTTTAGAAATAAATGTTTATGTTACATCACTGGGTTGCATTTCTTCAGGGGACTCTCCCTGGGGGGGCACATTGAGTCTCCCCAGAGGTAACCACTCTCTGGGTGGAGATACAGAGGCCGTGAACTCAACAGCAGCACATTAGAAACTTGAGACAAGCAGAAGATGCATAGTGCCCAATCAATTTATAAGGCAGACACTGCTAGTCTTTGAACAGTTAATTCCAAGAGTCATACAAATGCAGAGAGAAAGCTCAGCCAAGACAAAATCTAGGTTTGAAGCTAGTTAAGTAAACCCCATCCTCTGATGACCACACACACCCACCCCCCACAATACAAGACATACATATTGTGCTATATTACCTTTTTGGCTCAAGATACATATAAGCTTCTAAAATACTTCTGAGACACACAAGGAAAGATAATCATCCCATTGGTCTTACCCTGAGGTAGTTGAGGGTGAAATTCGTTAGCCCCATCCTGGTGATGTTTTTGGACAGCTGATCCAGGACCTGAGGATCTTGTGCCTAAACAAGAAAAAAATAATCACATATTTTATCCCTGCAAGATAAGGAAAGACGTAGATATGCTGCAGCTGCTAAGAAGTGCAATCTTGACATCGTTGATTTTTCGAGCAGGGCAGGTTGCTGGAGATAATTTAATTGGCATTTTGAAGACAACTGCATACAATGGGGCAAGATCTGTTGCCCGGGAGAACCAAACTGAGTCATATGTGCTTTTGGTCCTTCGAAGAAACGACTTTTCTTCCTCCACGGGAGCCTAGTGTCTTCAGGAGGAGGGTCGTTAAGCCCTTCCAGGACCCCTCCTGGAACACCAGGGAGGGCAGAGCCTCTGGATTTGGCAGAGCCATGCTTTAGGGCTGGTCTGCGTTTCCTGTTGTGATAGTGGTGTTTTTAACAGCTTAGAGCTGAAGACCATATTTGAAAACTTTACAACTGCAGTGAAATATATACATATGAATTCATATATATATATGAATTCTAACTCTCCTCCTCATTAAGCTAAATCTAGAAATGGATGTCCTCAACAATTTCCATCCTGCAGGACTGTAAAGGTAAGCAACACATTTTCCAAAACAGCAGCCACATTTAAAAGACAGATGCCGTGTTCCAATGGGCCACATTAAAAAGTCCCTTTGGGCCAGAAAAAAAGAAAATTCCTTGTGGATTCCTTTGTAAGATGAGTCTCTTGGTTGATACCCTTTCTTTCTATTGGTCTTTCCTTCTTCCTTAGCTGGTGTAAGCAAATTGGTGCCAAGCAGAGAGAGACTTATGTAAATATCCCTTTGTCTCCATATCTACCTTCATGAGACAATCTGGGTTACACTAACCTTTGATTCTTCTCTGTACTTAATTTTCCTCACAGTGATACAACCAATTGGCTTTGTGTATATAAATATAAAAACAAAATGCAGGAGAAAAGAGTCAGAGCTTGTCATTTTTCACATCACCTTCTGGAAAAGGGCTCCTTTTTGGACATGCAGCCAGTACTTATTGAATGTCTTCTGTGTCCAGGAAAAGCTGGTTCCATAGATGTGCGGCAGGCAGTTGAGGCTGACCTCAAGGAGCCCCCTTTGCAGCTAGATGACAGGATAATAATAAAGGAAGGACGTTGTTGCTGGTGTGGCCGCTGTTGCTAAAAACCAATCGCTAATACTTGCAGAGGACCTACTATGTGCCGGGCACTGTTCCATGACCTTTACATACGTTAACTCCTAACCTTCAAACCAACTCTCTGACGCAGGCTCTATAACTATACTCACTTTATAGATGAAGGACTGGAAGAACAGAAATGTCATGTCATGTGCCAAGGTCACACAGGAACAGGGACAGAAACCCACGTGGTCTCATTCCACAGCACAGCCTTGTGACCACTGCCCTCTGCTGCCTCTCAGTCTATTTGGAGAATAGCAAGAGTGGCTACTCCAAGGAGAGTGGAGAATATGAACTGGGCTTTGAAAATTGCAAAGGATGGGGCATGAGTAGGGAGAAAAAATGGAGCAGGTGAATAGCGATGCCCCAGCAGAAAGCACAAGGTCAGTGGAAAGGGTGGAGACTGGGTTAAGCAGTCAGGAGGAGAGGGTTGAGGACCAAGGCCAGGAAGTCAGCCTGGAGTTGGGGAGCTGGGAGGCAGATGGCTTATTGGCCCGGGTTTGGGAGCCAGCACCAACTGAGCAGAAATCTTGATTTGCCACTTTCAGGTGAAAATCATCGGTCAACTTATGGAACCTCTCTGAGCCATATTTTTCCTCACTTCTAAAATAGAAGTGATGATAACTTACTCTGAGTTACTGGGAAGATTAAATATAATGTACACAAAATGCTTAGCACAAGGCCTGGCATAGCCAACACCCCATAAATGTTAGTTACTGTTACTATATTCTCTTTTGATTGTACAGGATATTAAAGGTCAGGTTCACTGAGTCTGATTTCGCTCCAAAGCTTTCTCAGAGAAATTGCTGCATCGTGCATTAAGGAAGAGGGACTTTTTTAAGTTAGTGCCTTTTGAGTCCTTCTTAAGGGACTGCATGCAACTAATTCCTGCCAAATCTTACCATTAAAACATATCTCTAGATTGGCATCAAATCTACCCCTGCACCTAGTTGGTGGTCAATAAATCTGATGTGGTTTATGGCCAATGGAACCCAAGGGAACCCAAATATTCCACTTCATTCCAAAACGCGCAGTGGTCAGGAAGAGCGTTGACATGGAGCTGAGGTGCACGAGCCCCACCTCTTGTCAGATGGTTCTAATCAAAACTGGAAACTGTTTTTCTTACTTCTTGTTTTCTTTTTTCCCCCAGTTATACATAACAGGTTTATGAGCCCAGGCAGAGAAGTGCTTGATAATAACTGAATGGAATTTAAGAGAAGTACAACTGTTTATTGAGGTAACCTCAATTTGGAGTTTAAAATAATAAAGTATCAAAAAAAAAAAAAGAAAAGAAGAAGTTTCACAATGCACCAAGTTCAGAAACAAAGGAAGGAAAAAGGGCTTGTGGATTCAAATGGTTGAAAGAGAAAAACCAAAATTTAGAGTTAACTAACATAAAAGGTGGTGATGACTGGAGTTTTCTCAGGGAGAGAGCAGGGCTTTTCCTCCTTGAGAAAAGTGAAGGGATACAAGGAAAGAAAGTAAAATCAAAATGAAATTACTTACATGCATGGCTAGAATGCTTCTTGGAACTAACTCTCTGTATTGTCTAATGGTAAAGTGCCATGTTTTTATTCTCATGAGATCATCAAAGGTGAACTCCAAGATCAGTCTGCCTTCTGTACATACCTGAAAGTGACAAAGAACACACTCATTTAGGCACTTTGCTGGTGCCACATTTTTGTAACTCACACATCAGCCACTCAGCATGGTATCTCTCACTATTCTGGGCAGCATCGGATCTTGACAAAGACGGAATACAAGTGGTTTATCCACGGCACACTGAGACAAAGATAAGCTCTGGCATCAGCAGGTCCACACCACAGCACAGCACAGCTGAGTACTAGCCACAAGCTATGAGTAGCCTGACTAGTTACTATGGAAACTCTGTGAACCTGTGTTTCTTCATATGTAAATATGGGGAGATGATATTATGCCAAAAACTCCTGGCACACAGGATAGATCCCACACAAAAGGTCCTTTCTCATTTCCTTTTTTCTCCACTTTCATCATCCTTCTACCGTAGATGCTCGAGAACTCATCCAACTCAAGCTATTAACGTCTGGGAGACAGTGTCTAGTAAAATTAATCACGCTAAGTGTGAGTCACTACAAAGTTACCCAACCAGAGGAAGTTTTCATTTTCAAAGAGAAATTCCAGAAGACAATGCTTAACTCAAGACTGTGGGTATCAGTTACTGACATGTGGAAACTAGAAGCATGTTTAGAGTGTTTGCAGGAGTTACATCATATTAGCGATGACAAAGTCCACCTGCATAAAGAGCCAGCCTTTGCGGGGGGTGGGGGTGGGGCTAACTTATCTTTCTAAGAAAAATGTATATTATTAATGAAACACCATAGAATTTCTGAGGCTCTCTTCCTTGATAGAGGGATCAGTGACAGGCTAGCATTTTTATCTTCTTTTTATATTCAGATAATTTTTAACACATAGTTCCTGTTTCATTTACCTTTCTTTTCACCATTAATGACTTTCAAATGGGAGAAAATGTTAGGCAATCACACATCACTGATCCTATATAAACTGTAAGATTGGAAATGGTGGGAGCTTAGGTCCAGTTTAAATAATTACAACTCATTATTCAGTCCGGCTTGCCTTTGAGAAGTACACAATAGTGGATGGGGGAGCTGGCATCTGCAAGGACTAGATTCTAACTTGGCGTTCCTTTTCACTTATTTTGGGTCTTTGGAAAAAACAAATTCCCTAAATTCCAGTTTCTTTATCTATAAAACAAGGATGATAATATTCTTGGGTAGAGTTGTTGGGAAAATACATTAGAAGAAATTGCACATGTAGATGGTTTTGGTATTTTACCTGGCACATAGGAGGACAGTATGGTAGTTCTAAAGATAAAAGAAATGCAACCAAATAGCAGACAACCCTAGACCAGTGGTTGTCATACGTGTTGAGATGCAGGGATTCATGAGTGATGTCTCAGTGGCTCTGCTGGAAAAGCTTGGCCTCCATCGGGACTCTGATACTCATTTCCTATGTCCAACCAGAGCAGCTTCAGTTCTATCTGTTTTAATACATTGGACTTCTGACCAAGCTTTTTTGGAATAAGATTTCTTATGCTAAAAGCAAACATACAAAACTTGGGAAATCACTATACTACACAATTAAAAACAGAAATATTTAAATAACAATTAGCTCCATAAAGGATATGATTATTTCTAAAACTATAGTCCATGAAGGTGATTAGCAATTTCTGTCAACCTGTATGAAGTATTAGTAATCACTTCTTTCTTTGGGAATTTAATATAAAAGGCCACCATTGACTAAGGTCCAACCATGTCCTATGCACTATAGGTTAGGTGCTTTCTATTCATTCTAATTTTAGGCACTGTTTTCTTTAAACAGTCCCAGTATCAGCTCAGAAGAATTAGTAACATGTGTTTATAGGACATTACATTAGTAAGATGCTATTAATTTAATGTCTGCCGATTCCATTCGGTCAAAGGTCTCAGAAGCATTATAAGATAATCGTTGATAATCTGGGTGAAGATCTCTAACTCCGATCCAGTTAGCAGAATCTGTGGGTGATTCCCAGCATTTGGGTACCTTGCCTGCCTCACAACTTCTTGGGTACGTGGTCTTCAGAGCCTGGTTCCTGTTATCTTCACTATGCGAGTTGACCAATGGGGATGGCAGAAGACTTCAGAGTCCCTATACCACTCCTCCAGAGCATCATCAATGCTGGAATTAATTTATTAAGGTTTTCAAAAGAGTTGCCTGGAGATTAAACCACACAATTCCTGGTGGGGTGTGAGCATGACGGAAGCTACCGCAAGGAAGGTTTTCACACAGATGAGGTAACTGCAGCCAGTCAGTGATGGTGAAATGTCTTGACAATATATGATATGGGGTGTTTGGATGCTATAATCCTTTTTTATTTTTTATTTTTTTAAACAGAGAGGCCTATTGATTGTTTAAACAAACATTAGCCCAGTTAAATGTCACGCTTTTTAAAATTGTCTCATCTATTTGTTTTGTGTTTATGAACCAAAAAGCCCAGGGTAGATGGAGGTTCTGGTTGACTTCTACTGGAACAGAATTTCATAATGGAAAGGCATGGATGTAGTCCTTCTGATGAATTTCTCAACTGGAGCATCTGTAAAGTCAAGTTAAATTGTGTTCTTTGTTTACCGTGACAAAGCACACCGGTTGAGGGTCCTTCCTGCAGTCAGACTGTCAGGGGCCTACAAAAGGGAAAATTGCAACAAGCCTTGGGCTTCTCCTTTCTCAATCAAAACCAAGGAATCAGCTTTATCCAGGGCATGTTACTGCAAGACAGGAATCCTTAGAATTGAATCTGAGTATTTTCTTTAAGGAAAATTAATGACTTCTTTGAATGAAAGAATGGAGGGGAATATGGTCACTGCTGGTCTCCCCAAGTAATTAAACCCACAGCCTCCTTCCAAGCCCTTTGCAGCCTCTCTGCTAAAGGAAACTGAAGGCTTTGTGATTTATTTTACATGCGACAATCAGCAAATGGAATAGAGGCACTTAAGAAGAATATATATATATATATATATTCCTTGTTTGGAAATGGTAAAAACCAGGCATAGCTTATAAAAGAGAACTAGTATTTTCTCTTTTCAGAAAAATCCTCTGCATTCCTCTTAATCAATATAATTAATGTAGCTTTTATCTAAAGTTGGCCTTTTTTAAAAGCTGCCTTTCACTTGAAATCCAAAATCAAAAGGGTCCCCAATTAAGAAAACATTTTCTGTTGTGCTGAATTCATGTTACCGTACTGTGAGCTCTGACATTTTGTTTCTGTGGTAACCAGAATCAGCTGATTAGTTGGCATGGCAACAGAAAAGATGTAATCCCAGCAGACACACTCTAATCAATGCCCCCAGCACAGATGGTCTCCGGAGGATCAACAAGAAAGAGGCTGGCAGGCATTCAGCAGATCACGTGCTAGCTTGAGACTAGGCCAGGGACAAGAGAACTAAAAAAGAACATTTCTCAAATTAACCGGTAGCTTTTTAACCCTTTTCTTTCTTCGACTAATTGTAAAGCAATATTGACCATGTAGTTGAATAATACAATGATTCTCATGTAGCTTTCAAGAAATAAAATGTGCTTTTTAGGTGGGAATATTTATTTAATTTTCTTGGTCTTTATGTTTGGAACGCATGCATAGAATAGTGATTTTAGATTATCAGTTGCAAGCAGCTTTTTGAGTTTTACTTAGAGACACTGCATATGTAAATGCATATATATATATATGTACACACACATATATACACATATATTAGAGCAATATGATTATTGGTATTATCATAATTTGGTCAGAGTCAGGATAAGAGTATAAATGTATGAATCCTAGAGTACAAGGTCAAGGGAAGAATAATGAACTAACTGTCAAGGACATGAATGAGCAGTCATACAGGAAAATGGGTTGGTGCACTTCCATTACACTTTTTGATAGTAGTAAATAATTTCATAATAAATAATAGAGACCAGAAAAAACAAAAACCTGTATTTGCAGAAGCAATATAAGGGTGCACAATACCAGGTGTAATTATTGCTCCAGTTTGTAAAACCTAAAAGTCACCCAAAGTGTGCTCCATCCAGAGGGGGTTCCTCTCAGCATCTGCCAGTATTCCCACCCTCAAATATAACTGAAGGGTGTTGGATTCTGAAAACGTTGGTGATTGCTCTTCTAATTATTAAGCTTTGTTTCCAATTTGATTGGAAACTGAATACAGAAAAGGCTTCATAATGTGTGTTTTAAAACTCTAATTACATATTTATCCATAATCTATAATGTTCCTAGGATCAGGAAATTGCAAAATGTGCACCATACTCCTGAGGAATATTAAATATCGCTGTTGATTAGGACTGCAGCTGATTTTTTGATTCACCAGTTGACCAAATTTTCATAAAAGCAACTCAGAACCACTGGGTCAAACGCTTTTTGGGGAATTAGATTTTACTGATAGTCTAAATTAGACTAGGTAGAACAGTGTGTTACTGCCTGCACATAAGTGTTAAGTAATGCCATGTACTAATAGCAGGCTCCCCTTTAAAAATAAAGCATTGACTTCCCACTGTTTTTCTTTATAATAGCAAGAGGTCCTTAGCCCACTTTTATATTAGTCATATTATTTTATTACATGAAGATGAGTTGTTTTTAATTAATATAAGAACAAAAGAAAAATTGGAAAAAATCTTTGGGTAGTATAATTATCACCAAGCCAAAGAAAAAAGAATCCTTCAGAATTTTCTAAAAATAAATGTGTGTAATTAGCATCTGGACTAAGTCCACATAGCTAAGCTACACTTCCCAGAAAGTGGTATTTTTCATTACATTATGGAAACATTCATTACAAGAGTTGACAAGTGTATTGCCATGGAGTAACTTGAGATGGGTTATCTAAACAACTGAAGCTTAAAGCCCGGAAAGCTGAGTTCAGGAGAATCTCAGGGCTTCCTGGTGGCGGTGCTCAGATGCCTGAACAAACCACTCAGCTATCAGAGAGGGGAGCATTCCAGGATGAAGAAAAACACAGGAGAGGAAAACCTTAACTTCTTGATTTAAATGAATAGAAGCACTTTCACAACTCATCAGAAGCAAGGGATTCTTTCTCATTTAAAACCAGTCCCAAATGTATAGCACTTATTTTTGGAGCCTGACTATGCTCATTTATAAAAAAAGTTTTGGCCTGAGAAAGGAAGAAATTAAGGACATATATAAAAGGGCTACTACGAAATGCATTTTTATTTTCATTGGCTTCAGGCTTTAGAAGGAATTCCTCCATTTTGGGGAAGTTTCATTTAATTATCATGGATATTTTCCCCCCTTAGAGTGTAAGGAATTGTATTTTAAAAATGATAATGAAGCAGCAGAGAAAAGCGTTCTCTGCAGGCTCAGATTTTGTAACATTCAAGATAGTTTGTGTTATCCATCCGATCTACAAAATTATATAAAGGTTTTGTCTCCAAAATGAAGTGAGATGTGGAGAGACTAAACCATCACCCAGGTGATCATTCCCTTCCATATAGCAAAACTCTCTTTCCAGCATGAGCTTCTGTATACAGTGGAATCTTCTTTGTCCCTGATTGACAACTTTCCTTTCTGCCCAACTTTTCCAGATTTAAACCATCTATTGACAAAATAAAGATATCAAAAAGTCAATGGTATTCAAAGATTTGCTTTTGCATTTTATAACCATTTCCTTTGCCTTTGGTTTTTCACACAGACATGGACATGGGAAGGATTAAATGGCACCAAATAAAGATCAAAGAATACTTTAAATAATGAATATAGAATTTCTGTTTTTTCAGCAAAACTGTGCACAACTAACAAACACATCTTCACTTTCATAATTGGGGCTTTTGCAATTAACCCTGGTGATTCAACTTCTCTTAACCATAAAGAGAAGATCGTCATTTGTGTTTTCAACTAAAAGATAGCTACAAGCATTAATACTACAAATTCGTTTCACATAGTCTTAGTCAAAAGGCGATGAACTGTATTGTTCATTAAAATAAACTTCTGTTTGTCACATTCTTTGACTAAATATTTGATCTTATTAATTTTTCTACTTGGGAGAAGACATAAAGGGATTACAATCTTCCAAAAGGTTTTTGCCCGGAGGGAACAGTCCATATGTCAGTTGTCTGCAGATGGAAGGATCATAGGGGCAGAGTGTATAGAAGATGCAGTTGATCCCTATCTCTTCTCTTTTTCATTCTACTTCCTTTACAGGGCTTTGAATTCTGCCTCAAATATGGTGAGACCTGACTTTCCAGCTGCCCCCTCTCCCGTGTTTCTCATTTTTCTTTCACAATCAATTTTTGGCTCTACTGTGCTCCCTTGCTGACTGTGACCAATCACAGGACTTAGAATTTGGGGAAACAACCTTTAAACCTTTGAACTCCTTAATTTCATGCATGCTTTTATGTTCTTATGTTCCTTAAGATTCAACCTAATTAAGTTGTGACTAGCTGATTGCTCCCTGACTTGTTAACATTTGAATTTAGCTTTAAATTATTTTAGTAACAAAACACAAATCGTGACCTCCCAACAATAGGAGAATATTGTTTTAGCTGTAGAGGACCTTTGTATAAAAACTAAAGTCCTAATGCAGTAGCCTGAGAGGACTAGGCAACCAAAAATTTCTTCCTCGTAGTTTTGAGGCTCTATCCTATTTGACTGTCACGTGCTCTGCATACATGCACATGTTAGAACAGTGTTCACCAAGAGGGTAGCCATGTCACAAACAGAAAAGAGTATTTCACAGTGCTGAAAGCGTCTGTGAGAATTCATCAAGTTCCAGAAGAAAACAGTAATTATTATCCTTCAGTACCCCCAGAGAAGAGCGAGCCGTGCTGCTGAATGTGCCTGTACCTTGGTAAACATGGGCTTCCCGTGCTGGGTGACCATGGCACACTGGTCACAGTCCACTGTGATGGACGAGTTGTGGTATGATTCTTTCGAGTGTTTGAGAATGTAATACAGGTCGGTCACCCCTCCTTCAAACACAGTGCTAAAGTAACGGGGGATGAGGGTCCTGCCGATAGCTGGGGGAGAAACACAGAGAAACAAACCATTAACAAAAATTAACCAATGTTTCCCACAGACCCCACACCATCATCAGACCTCCAACTGAATACAAATTATCTCAAGAAACCACACCAGAAGGCAAATTTCTCTTTATAAACAGCCATGACCCTTCTAGGTTACAGTTAATAAAGTAAGCCCCCCAACTAGTCAGGAAAAATTAATACAGTCATCTCTCCAGATTTTGTGTCCATTGAAAGTTAATAATATAAGAATTCATATTTTAAAAATAATAGGGACAAAGGCACTGGCCACTTTGGACCTCATATGCATACGTGAACAGATTTTCAAAAAACAAAACACATCCAGTTGACTTGGATTTTTTAATGGATTATTTACAGGCCAGTTTTCCAATCATGTTTTATTAACAGTAATAGTCATATAATATAAATTTTAATAATGTGATGTAGATAATTGGAGTCTCTAACTCCAAATCTGCAAGCATGGGGAAACTGGCTCTTTCAAACACTGTCTTAAACTGCTTTAATGAATGGAAATCTTTTAAAGGTGATCCATATCTGCTTATACGAAGAAATCCATACCTATGTAAATGCTGATTAACCTAACTGCTTCTAGAGCTGGATAAGATATCTTTCTAGAATAAAAGTTGAATTTTAAAAGACGTTGATACCTTCCACTTTGGTCTAAATTGGTCTTTTTCATTCCACGTGTCCTGTCCTGTCCCATTTCAGTTTGAGTGATTGCTAAGTAGCTGGGTCTCTCTGATATATGAGGCTTGGAAACAGCTAACAAGCCCTTGCTTTAGCAGAGATTTTAAATCCTCTTACACTGAAAATCCGAACTCATAATATCAGGAATTTTGCCTATGTGCAGATTTTGAGGCAAAGTACCAAAGAACTCTCAAGTGATTCAAGGTTTTTAATAAATCTCTTATATTCACTATATAATACCTACTAAAAGACAAAAATAATATTTAAGATAAATTAGCAGAGACTTTAGGTAGGAAAGATCATGCAATCTTTATTTGAATGTTTTAAAATGTTTTATTTCATTTTAAACGAATCCTTGTTAATATATTTCGTATGGATGGCTATCTCTTTTGTACATGGAATTAGGAAAAAAAAAAGCTGTGAAAAGAATATGCTGCCAAACTGTTTTCTGAAGGGATCTCTAAAGAATCCTGATGTGGTTGACTTGCCTCTGAATAATTTATACAGTTGTTATTGCTTCATATTTACTGCAGTAAAATCAGTCAACAAGTGTGTGCTTGATATTCTAGGATCTTTGCCAATTCCATCCTAAATAATCCTTATACATACATTTCTTAAATACTGCCTAATCCCAACTGTGCATGCTTATTTACTAAATATAAAATTCAAATAAGAGCAATTTGAGTTCACCACATCCTTAAACATATGCATACTGATATTATTAAGAAAACTTTGTTAATGTAAAAACCTTATTGTACTTTGCTAAACAGATAAAATTAATTTAATGCATTTCAATATTCTAACTTAAAGCCATCATAAAACGGCTCTAGTAATTTAACATTTTGGGATCTATGCTGTGGAAAACAAATGCAAACCATAAATATGTAGATGCAGGATGAAAATATTTCACTACAGTATCCAAGAAATAGTCACATTAAAAAGGTTACTGCAGATAAAAACCACTGCATTAGCACATTATAGTTTATTCACCATGAATCCTGCACAATTTAATTCCTTTGTAGTAGTATTTGCTATACATATTATCATCACTTTGATTTATAGTATAAGAAAAATTGAATGGGAAAAAAAAATGTTTGAGATTCCTTAATTTTAACCTAAATTTTTAATTACCTCTCCAAGTCCAGAAAATGTACAAACTATACATTTTTCTGTGTATATACAGCTGTGCTTCATTTAATACTTTCTAGTACTCTAGGAAATGATTGTTGTGGGTACCTGAGGTTTGTGTTCAGACTTTCTCCTTGTGGGACCACCCTTACCACTTTCCCCATGGTCCTGTTTGGACTATCACTTTCAAAACTCCACAAAACTCAAACTCTCAAACAATTGTCCACATGTGGTGGCCCCCATGAACCATGACAATGGTAGTCACGTCCTTGTGCATGTGGTCTCCTGGAATCTGGGCTGGGCTCTGTGATCTGCATTAATAAATAGCATGTGGCACAAGTAACTTTGTGTCAGTTTTGGGCTACATCTTAAGAAGGCCTAGAAGCTTGCCCTTTGTGCTTTGATGGGAAGTAGTGAACACTGTATGAGACACAATAAAGAGGAGGTGATGAGAATGATCTATGCAAGAGATACTGAGTCTCTGCAACAAACTGTGTTAGAAGTTGAAGGGGATAAAGAGGTGTGTCAGAGACTGTATTAGTTTTCTTTTGCTGCTGTAACAAATTGCTACAAAAAAGGGGCTTAACTGCCATGTATTATCTTACAGTTCTGACAATCTGACATGGGTCTTGCTGGGCTAAAATCAGGATGTCAAGAGGGCTGCATTCCTTTCTAGAGGCTCTAAGGTAGAATCAGGTCTTTTGCTTTTTTCCAACATCTAGAGGCTGCCTGAGTTGCTTGGCTGTGGCCTCTTCCTCCATCTACCTGCCAGCAGTAGAAGATGGAGACCTCAAAGAGGATGGTTCTCACTTTCTCTTCTGCCTCCCTCTTCCACTTTTTTAAGGACCCTTGTGACTTCATTGGACCCAACTAAGTAATCCAGGGTAATGGCTCACTCATCTCAAGGTCCTTAATTTAATTAGATCTGCAAGTTCCTTTTGCCATGTAAAGGAACATACTCAGAGGAACCAGGGATTAGCAGCGGACGTCTTTGTGGGGGTCATTATTCTGCCTACCAAGAAGACTATCTTTGTCACAAAGGTTCTTTTCTGCAAATTCTATTTGGGAGTATAGTAAAAATCTCTCACACACACATGCATATGCATACACACTATGAGCAATACACAGATAATGTACAATAAATGGGACAATAATCAGAAAAAAATATCACATGTGTTTGATGAAATCAGTCTGTAGCTTGTTCATTGATTTTTTTTCTATAAACATTCACTAAGCCCAGAATAAGAATAAAGCTCCTTGGTAGGCACTGGAAAGATAAAGACAGATTTTTGTCCCTGTCTTTCAAACTCATTTCTAACAAGGAAGTTAACATGTATCTAAGTATCTGTAACAATGGGATAATAGACAAAGTTACAAAATGGATTTGTGATTTTGAACTCTGCCAATTTCTTCTCAATCCTGAATTTGATGTATAATTTTATTATTTTTGAAGCACTGAGATTAAAATGTCCTTTGAATTTAGTAAAACATGCTACTACACTGCACTTCCTAATATAAATGACGTTAAATGAGTGAACATTTCAGATGTAGGTCCCCTAACCCATTAGCCACACCAATTCAAAATCTATTTAAATTTTATATTGTCACATTCATATGCTACACCTACACTTTGCATTTATACTTTAATCCTTGGAATTAAAAATAATTTAAATATTGATATACCTAAATCTACACTGTGCTCCCATGAAAGGATTACATCTTGCAAATATTCTTGAAGAGAGATTAAAACTATGGATTATAAAAGAGATTCTATTTTTCTAACAGAGGTAGGTCAAAGCTTCAAAAGTTGAGAAAGGGAATCATGGAGAGAACGGTAGCACAGGAAGGGTTTTCTGTGATGTTAGGTGAGTAGAATATCATATAGATTATTTATTTATGTATTTATGAAAATGAAAAGAAAATCACAGATTCAACTACCCAGGAGCCTGAAATGTGTTATAAAGATTGCCTCTAAATACACTTTACTTTGTAGGTAAGCATGATTAGCCCAGAAATAGCTAAAAAAATTATTCATAGCTAATTTGGATATTGAGGTCTGAAATTTCAGCTTCTTGTTACTTTTCTGTTTCTGTTTTGTTCCCAACCACCAATGCATGAAGTTGGTGTTACTGGCGTTGGTAGGTGGATGGTTTTATGGAGATAGGATCTAGTTTCTTTCTTTTTCTTGTATGTATAACTATAGTCATTAGGATATCTACAGGATGCTTGTAGGTATTATCTAATTTTTTTCCCAATTTGGAACCAAATGGTACGTGTTGAAAATTCTTAATCATTGAGAAGACATAAACTATTATGCATCTTCCTTTTATGGCATTTTATCTCTATAAGTAATTATGAAATGCTCTTCCTAATCTCTTAAGAATATCTATAGGTATTTCACATAAAAGAAATTGCAAATGGAAAATAACCATATGGGACAATGCTCAAACTAGTAATCAGGGTACAAATTATAATTATAATAATAATAAAAAGATTAAACCATAAATCTGGTAAGGTTGTGGTAAAACAGGCATACTCAAATACTTCTAGGGAAATCAATGTAGCAGTTACTTTTAATCTTGAGAATCTCTGTTTCTCTGAGAGCTCATTAGGTGACTTTCAGCCCTTGGTAAATGCCCTTGCCAAACTGCAGTTCTGATGTTCAGACCTTAAGCGCTCTAAAGTCCTTCAAGCCCTTTGAGAAACATTGTCTAATGTTATGACCTTTAGATATGGGACCATCATTTGCTATTCTAAATGCCTGTAATTTCTTTCAAAGACAATTCACTCAAAAAAATGAAAAAGATTAAAAGCTTAATTAAAAGGAGGAAGGCTTGTAACTAACAAAGTATTAGTACCATTTAACACTTGGCAATTACTTAATGATTTTCCTCCTCATTGGAAAGAGACAATCGCATAACCACACATTTGTGTTTTTAATTAGGCAAAGTTAATGATAAAATAATTGATTACTATGATTTAAAAAATCTTCATAAACATTAGATGGGTAAATTCCTTGTCTGAAACTGGGTAGTTCTATAGTTATTCTAAATCTGCAGTATCTAAGAAATCCACATGGGAATTCTACTACTGAGGTACAAAATAAGCACAAAGATTCATTAGACTTTTGCCTTATCTGTATTCTGAAATTAATGAATTTG